TTCTGAACCCCAGTTTAACTCTGGAAGCCCAGGTGGATTTGGTGGCCAGAGGCGCCTTCCTTCAGCTGCGGAAATTGTACCAGCTACAGCCCTACCTGGACGAGCAGAGTCTCATGAGAGTTACACATGAACTGGTAAAATGTCATATAGATTACTGGAATGCGTTGTACGTGGGGCTGCCTTTGAAGACAGTCCGGCAACTGCAACTGGCCCAGAATCGAGCTGCGTGGCTGGTGAGTGGTGGGACTGCTAGGGAACACATCAGGCCGATTCTGTTCAAATTGCACTGGCCAGGCCCAATTCAAAGTGCTTCTTTTTACATATAAAGCCCTAAACAGCTTAAGCCCTGGATACCTGAAGGACCACCTCCTTCTCTATGAGCCTACCCAGCAGTTAAGATCTAGCCAGGGGGCCCTCCTGAAAGAGCCATCCTTCAAGGAGGTAAGAGGGACAGCTTGTAGACAAAGGGCCTTTTTGGCAGCTGCACCCAGACTATGGACTGCTATCCTGAGTTGATGACGTTTCGGCGCCAGGTCAAAACCTTCCTGTTCCAGAAGGTTTTTAATTGAAATAATATCAACTGTGGGTCCTGATGGCAATTTTTTAGAGCACTGCATTTTTAATTGTATTTCACTGTTTTATCTTTTTACTGCATTTAAATTGTTGTAAGCCACCCAGAGACCTTTGGGTAGTGTGGGCGGCATATAAATTAAACAAACAAACAAACAAACAAATAAAATTAATACTGTGTTTCCCTGAAAATAAGGCCGGGTCTTATATTAATTTTTGGTCTAGAAAACACATTAGGGCTTATTTTCAGGGGATATATTTTTTTTCATGTACAACCATCTACATTTATTCAAATACAGTCATGTCCTCTTCTTCTGGTTGCTGCACCATAGTGGAGCATTGGGTTTCACTTAACTGGGCTTATTTTGGGGGCAGGGCTTATATTACAAGCATCCTGAAAAATCCTACTAGGGCTTATTTTCAGGTTAGGTCTGATTTTTGGGGAAACAGGGTAATTATTGTTAATAAATAAATATCAAAGCATGTAAGGTAAGTACACCTGTTTTTTCTCTTTTGGGCAAAATTCTAAATGCTAGAGATTAACAATAAAGTCCTCTTAAATTCAGATCTGCTAGTAGTCCTCATTCTAGGTCAGATTCAGATTTATCTGCATAAAACTCAGCGGACTGAAAATCTGTCCCCTGCCCTCTTCCCCTCAGCAGCCCCTCCTCAGCCTGACAACGGTACTTCATGGGCTGTGGATTATTAAACATGAAAATCAAGTTGAGACACTATCCATAAATGAGAGCCTCTCTGCTAGCAGAATCAACCCACTTTGTCTTTAAATGCTTAGATTGCTATTTATGTATTTACTTTGGATTAAATGGCTTCCCAAAGAAATTCAAATACTTAAAATAAATATTCTGCAGTAATAAATAGCAACAAAATCCCAAGTTGAATTTTGCAGAAATTAGATATAACATTTCTTCAAATGTACAGGAAAAATTACAGTATTGGAAAAATAATATTAAATAAAATGCAAACAAGTTACCGAATAAGGGGGGGGATCAAAAGACAAGTATTATTTCAGGTGAGGGAGGGGAGACTGCCATTTTTCAGAACAAAGAAATCTGCAGTTGTGATCTCCTGTACTGACAATACCAAAAGTATAAATTCATTTTACCAATCTGACTGATAGCTAATTAGAAACTACACATAATATCATATTGTACTGCAGATTTAAAAAACCCAACCTGTTCCATCTACTATCATTCAAACCAATTTCTATTTGTGCAATGGAACCTCCTCTCCTGCCTACCCTCCCCCACCTTCTGCTTTGGACCTATTCCACCAAAAGTCTGTTGTACTAAAGGATGGACACAGGTGGATACAACCAATTGTATATGATTTAGTGAAATCCTATGCACTTTTGCTCTTATGTCAAATAGGGTTTACTTCCTACTACACATATCTAGGATTCCAGTCTCAATAATTAAACTTGTATTAACCACATTAAAATGAATGCACAATTCAGAATGATGGCTATATAGGATATAAAATATACATATTTACGTTGATTTTGGATACATCCCACGAACAATCATAGAATAGTTTATATAAAAATGGAATTCTGTTGAAGAGAACAAAAAATCTCTTCAGATCTTAATGAATAAACAGGGCTGTATGTATTTATTTCCAGCAATAGAGAGCACACTGAGTTTTCAATCACTGCAAAGATACATTGATAGTTTATCTTCTTTTAAAAACACACCTGAGAATATATTTTAAATGAGATTATAAACTCCAATTTGCTATAGGAAAAGAATGCAGAGAAGCAGTGTTACCCATTATGCAATTTAAATAGGCCCATCTCCAAATAAACTATTCAGCATGTTCATGAATCTTTTATGGCATTAGTATTGAAGATACAAAATCATTCATATTTTCATCTAACTATGACCAAGCTGCCCACAGTGAGTCTAGTCACAATAATGCTGCAACTACATGCAACTTACCAATAATGTTGGTAAATGCTGCAACTACATGCAACTTACCAATAATGTTGGTAATGTTTTAAGAAACAGTTACAGCTGTTATGCATCACTGAAAATTTTAAATCACCTTTGAAAAACAAATAATTGGGCAACTTTTAAACTTCTTCATGGGTGTTTGTTTTATTATTGCTCTGATTAAGCTTATGTCAGCCAACTAGATTGCAGCACTTCCCATTATTGTAATTTGGGCACAGAAGCTGAACAAAACTATTGACTATGTATAGGATCAGTATTTTGCACAAACCTGGTGCAGTTGAATGGAAAGAGATGAGAACTACTGTTGTTGTCTCTTTGGCAATCCAGGAAAACAGTCTGGATGCCTCTGATGCTGCTATTTACACACAAACAAAGTAAGAACTGCCTGATATACTGATAAGTATTTTCATTATTTTATTTCAAGAGAGAAATTCAAGAAATTACCGTATTTTTCGCACCATAAGACGCACTTTTTTTCCAAAAAAACATTGGGAGAAAAGTGTATGCGTCTTATGGAGCGAAAAATACGTTACCAAAATGGCACCAATACTGAATATAAACATTCTATCTGAGAACACTAGTTTAGTTTAGTTTAGTTTAAATTTTATTTTGATTGTTTTAAGGTATGTTTCTTTCTTTCCTAGGGCTTTAACTTTGTCCCAGTGACTACCTCATATGCAAAGCAAGACATATTGTTCAACTAGACCTGCACAGCTCACTACTTTATTCCACTACAGATCAAGCAATATATAGAAGCTACCTGAAAACAGAAAGCTTGATTAAAAGATGCACTTTTAATGTGAACCTAGAAGCACACAGATCAACAGAGAAGAGAAAAATAATAGTGGTCTGCACCATCACTTTCGGTCCTGAAGAAAATAAGCCTGATTTGCATCTATTCCCAAACCTTCTGTTAACCACAACAAAGAGTCAAAAGCTGATCATATTATGTGACGTGAGAGATACGGCACTGAAGCTGGCACTTTCTGTTTCAAAATATTTGCACGAGTATCAGCTGTGAGTGCAAGAAGGTAGATGCTTAAGAACTACACAGTGTAGATACACAAACCTTTAGGTCTAGTGTGCAGGTACATTTACAACAACTTATCAACATCTTTCACAGAATCCATGCAAGTTTTGGATGTATGTCCACTCACAGCCAGCACACAAACAAATCAAGAAATTCCTGATTTCTCAGGAACCTTGCATCACCTAATTTATTTCAAATACAAAATAATTACACAAATGTATACTTTCAAGATGTATACAAAAGGATCTGTATTACTTATACACATTTTGAAATTTTAAACTGGGAATTTGTTCTTTTTAATCAACACTCACAGTAAAACAGACATGTCTGTTGCTGTAAGCTAAACTAATACTGTATTACCACTGAAATAGATCTACTTTGCCAGTATGATAGGGGATTTTATCAACTAAAAGATAAGAAAGGTGTGTGGCCTTCAGAGAGAAAAAGAAGTGAATAGTAGAAAATGTATTACAGCAGGATTCTTCTGTACTTCCCCTGTCCTCCAAGCATTTAATTTGTTCAATAAATTCTGTACTTTCCATGTGGATGTATGAGATTTGTGAACCCATCTTCAAATCACACAGTAGCGTATACCTTCTCAAAAAAGCAGATTACTGGGTTTATTTTAATATTAAGATCCTTTTCCCAACACGATTAAAATAAAGACAAAACAACAGAGACAGAATCCAGTATAATTAGTTTCCAACAATAAAATTTTCCCAAACACTGTTGCAAAATTCCTTCTACTGAAATGCTTTGCTACAATAATAAAAAGCATACATTACATATAAAAAGATACCAGTGTACTAAAAGTGACAGAAGTGGACTAGCAAATCCTTCAAAGCACATATTATATAAAGGACTAGCATTTATAAACATTTCCGCCTAAAAAATGTAAGTCATATACATATATAAATTGATGATCCTTCCCCACTAAAGCAATGACAGTTTTCAAATGACCTTGTTGCTCTGTACAGCCTGAAAATATAGTTCAAACTTAGGTGAAGTTTGACTTTCTCATTTTGCTTGAACTCAATAAAGCTCATCTCAGCAGCTGATATTTCCTATGGCAAAAGCTGAATTGTGTAAAAATAAATCATGATGATGTTCATCTGCAGCAATATGAATTACGAACAGAACCATTTATTTAATCACACAAACCTGATTTATACCGAATCCCTGTTGCAACTTAAAGATTTCAAATGAAGCTACAAAGACATTCAATCAATGCAGAAATAGTATTTTTTTTAAAAGCCAACAAAATCCCATATTTCCATGATATGGGCAGTATGTTTTGCAGTCTTCCTCATCTTGCAGAAATGCAGCCAAGCCATGCGTTTCATATTGAATGTGTGTGCAGGCGCAGTATACATCTAAGGACTGCTCTCCCTGCAATGCGGACTGTGCTGCGTAAACAACATTATACTACAAACAGAAAAAAGTGGAATTTATTGATTAAAAACATTAACTTAAACAAAGCTATTAACTCCTCCAAACAGTTTTTGGAACTATCCTTATGCTACTTGTAAAGTTAGCACTGTTAGGCATTATTGCTTACATACAGTACATCATATCCCTCCTGATATAAAGCAGTACTGTGATCTGTTTATATACAAGGTCTTTTTTCCTTTTTTAGTTTAAAAACAAGCTGTAAAAACATTACATACTTTACAGACAATACAAATTCCCACATTGGTACTCAAGTCTAACAAATGGAATGCATAACATTAATAAAACATTGTAAAGGAAGACTGACATTTAAGTCCTTGATTGTCAAGACACATTTATATTTTATATATAAACTCTAACTGTGCAGAATCAAAGATTCAATCATAGGTACATCCTTATTTGATAACTCATATTTACAGAGCAATATTATATAAAAAATAAAATAAACATTTATACATTTTTAACCTTTCCATCCACTGCAATAAAGAAAGCAAGAAATAACTCTGAGAAAAGTTTGCTTGCTTCAGTATGTTTTCGTCATCAGAAGATCTCTCTTTTAAAATTATCATTGATAACAGGAAAATTAGTTTTATATATGTATGGCAAAAGCAACTAGAAAATTTCCCTGAAACAAAGTTGTTTAAAAATAACGAAAGTTAAAATTTTAACATAATGACACATTTCAATTATTGTAATACTTTCTTGGGATTTTTTTGTTGCAAAAGAAGTAGTTCAATGTGCTACATACCTAGCAGACATGCAGAAATGTAAAATGAAAGCATTTCCCAAAGTTGCAAGGCTGCTTTTGAGCTGAATGTAAGAAAACATAACCTTTGTTTGTTTTATTAATAATCATATCAACTGGAAAAAATTACATACAAGTTTTTACCAATCAAAATACCCAGATCACAAGTACATCTCTCCGTTCTAAAATTCTGATCTAGACTCTGCTAGATTTTCCTCTGAAGCTTCAAAGGGGTTGAATTTCTAATTTGTAAGTTTGCAAATACAAAGAATGTTAATACTGAAATATTATAGCAGGCTGATCCCAGATTCACTCTTGATCTTCTTCAAATATTTATGAAACATGATACACACATCATTAAAAAATGATCTAAGAAATATGGAACATATTGTACGTATCGAAGTGGAGGTGTTTTTTTCAGATGACAAGCCAGAAACTATGGATGGATGAACGTCAACAGCTACAGTAAAAACATATTAATTCACATTAGTGATCTGAAAACTCATTTTAAAAATCACAAAATAAATAAGCAAACAGAAGCAGGCATATGACATTACAATGTATTTCATTCATTTTGACAATTGTGGCTTTGCTTCCAGTATTTGTACAAATGTTCTGCAATATACTTGGTTAAAGTTACAGTCAGACTTTTGTAAGACCTCAAATATATGACTTTACACCACTGAAAAGAACAATATCTATCTTGGTGCAGGGTTTTTTCATTAGAAATGAGGCATTTTCATAGGAAATTACAAAATTTCCACAACTCTGAAATTCTTCCTATCTCCCTATCTCGGAAACCTTGGCAACCTGCTAAAGTCTTTAATAGATTTGCAGTAATTAAAAGGCAGAAAGGAGGTCATCCAAAAGAAATGAAAAAACAAATCCTTCTAAACTATACTTCAAAACTGTAGTGCACTGCAGTATGATGCCACATCTCTCTCCTGATAAACCATGCTAGATAAATTGTATACCCTGAATCATTAAGACAAAAAAAAGATAAAAGTGGCTACTTCAGCTATAAGTCCAAAAGCCAGTTCCTTCATTAGCAAGCTTAAAGTCATAGTAAATGGGACAGCAAATTAGTGTTAAAAATGCAGGCTCAAAAACACCTCAAAAATGAGCTCTTAAAAGACCTGGAACAATGAGATTAAAAAGAAAACACTGAAGTACAATGTTTGCATTTAAACTGAACCTGATTTCAAAGCTAATGTTGACTGAACTGCAATTATACCACTCAGTTTAACAGGCTATAGACAATATGTCTTAAATACAGTTTAATAAAACATTTTTCCACCAAAATGAAAATAATTTTAGTGCTATCTTCTAACCTGTGTACATAGTGGATTTATAAAATAAGTGGCAAGGATTAAGATTTAACTGTATAATCTGATTTGGGTTAAGAACCTTGATCCGTAACTGCTTCTTATGTGATTTGAATGGGATGGATCAGAAAAACCGCGGGTGCGATAGTTTATAATGTACGTACTGTATGCTCCAGGGCTCTCTGGATTCTAGTCAGAGTTTCTTCCACTGCTCTCTACAGTATTTCCTTTTTTTATATGGGATGCTTCCTCAAAAGCATTGACTGGTTTCCTCTATATAGATTTTACAGAGACAACACTCTGTACTCTAAACAGTCTGACTTTGTCCCATCACATCCACTTGCACATTAAAGTGTCCTAGCTGTTGCTTGCAACACATTTCTCTGGATCATGACCTGCTTTTAGATTTAAAAAGCACTGGAGCAATGGAACATTATGTTGGAAATGCTGAGTTAAAATTAACATACAAGGTGTGCTCAGTGTCCTGCTTTTCTTGGGCAGAGGGGGGAAAATACAAATAGAAAAGGTGACAAATTAAAAATTGATTATTTAGAGTTCTTCATGTGTGAGTAATATTATTATTTAAATTATTTCAACCTGACTTCTTGGTTGTATTTATTTATTTTGCTATGAACCAAAATCCTTAGATCATTTACAAATACAAAGCAACTTAATACTGAAATATTAAAGCAAGCTGATCCCATAGGATCATGATGCAACAACATCTTACTGCAACAGCCATGTGTTGACCTATGGAAATGACTATGAATCTGGAAAGATTCACATGTCTTCTGAAGAAAAGGTGCCTTCCCATCCATGAATTTGGAGCACCATTTAATTAAAACTAGGGATTTCTCTAGAAACTGCAAGTTTGTTGGTGGGTTTTTTTCTGGCCAAATCCATTATGTATGTGAGGCATTCTTTAGACTATGTAAGCTGTACAAAAGATTTATAATTAGGATGACACTGTAAAATAAGTCTTCACCATCTAGATTATTACATTTCTGGGGATAACACATGTTCCTGTCACTTAGCCTTTAAGGTAAAGAGATACCGAAAAGTTACTGTAAAACATCGCATTTGTGAAAGTATCGAAGAATGAAAACAATGTTTCATTTTTAAAATGGGCAAATTATCCCAACATTTATGTTAAGGCAAACCACACCATTTTAAAACCGCATACAGAACTGATTGTTGCACCACAAAATATAACTCAAAATAATATCTGGTTAAAATATCTACATGGAAGAGGGATTAAGTTTGTAGTTTCCTGATGAGTGAAAAGCAATACAATTTTGATCATTTCTCTTTTTGGTCATTGTTCTTAGTCACCAGCTTTTTGGCAAAGCCACAGTAAAACTGTTCATTTAGGTAACATATGCAGCCAGAACATCTACTGAACTGTCAAAATCTAGTTTGTGTGGATGTTAAGGCATAATTCATGCTCATGTTAAAAATACAAATAAAAAAATTGTGATCAGGTACAGTGATAATGATGCAGCCACATTGAGCTTAAATGCCTAAAACAGGTTTAATTTTGAGAAAGCATTTTAAAAAAAAAAAGGAAGAAAGACTAAGAATCTAAGTGCTCTAATATTAATTATTGCAGATTTGGAGGATGAAGTACAATTTAAACCTTTAAATCCTAAGGTTTATAATTCATATAAATATTAAGAAACTAGGAATGTAGTCTACAAAGCATTTTAGCTAAAACCTAAACATCTTGATACCTGTCAATGGGGAAGAGATAATAAAAAATTATGTTCATCTTCAATGGTATAAAGAAATATGCAATGTTCTCAGAAGGATGTAAATAACAGGTACTTTACTTTTAAAATAGTTTAATCACATATTTAAATAGGGGAGTGTATCTAGCAAACATCATTATCTTTCTCCAACTGAAGAAAAAGCAGAGAAACCAATAAAGCAATTATTGTATGTATCACTTTTTCGGAGACTTGATAAAATTCTATTTTTCCAGAATGCACTATAGCTGACTAGCCACATTTTCCTGACATTTAAACATCTGAGTTTGTTTGTACAGTCTATTCATAATCCCTGCTGAAGTGCAATGGCTAGACTAACTGATTAGGAAATTCCAATATGAATAATCTCATAATTATCATTCTCCCCAAAATAATCATTGTTGCCAAACTAAGGCATTATTATAAGAGAGAAGTCCTATCTGTTTTGTTTTGTTTTTTGTTTTGTTTCATTTTGTACTAAATCTCAATGTAGCAAGTTCCTGATCAGAAAAGAAAACAACAATTTGCCTTGTCAGTGGGCACCGACTTATAAGGCAACTGAGAAAGAATGGTGATTACCCTTCCTCCAAAAAAAGGGGGGGGAGGGAAAAAAGCAATTACCAATATGCTGTACCAGCTTACTTTTTTTTTTAATAACACAAGGCCTTATATCTATATAGGACTCTACCCTATACAGAACACACTCACTCTGGACAGACCTGTGCTAAAGTGCCAACGATATTTCTACACATTTTCTTAGCCAAATGTCTGGCCTGTTGTGGCATCAGGTGAAGAGTTCATCCCAGCTCGAGCATCATTTACATTCACCAAGGGGAATTCTGGGAATTCAGCACTTGTCCCTGGCCCCCTCAGGTTCACTTGTCCATTCGAAGTATTAAACTGAGATGATATTCCAGCTCTTGTTCCATGGTATTGAGCCCTGAACGGTTGCTCGAAAGAACCTATTTGATATGCTTGATGGACAGGCTGTGCCTCTGCTTTCTTCTGAGAAGTCACTTGATCCAAGAAGTCCTGGGTAGAAGATGAGGAAGAATGATTTGGCTCATCACCTGAAAAGGGAAAAGAGTGCTGGGAATCTCCAACGATAAGTCCAAAATGAGACTTGTCTGGAGTTGTTCTTAATGGAGAGTTCATTCCTGATCGAAAACTATTGACAGGTATAGATGCATAGACCTGTTTGTCTATAGCAGAGAATGCTGGTTGCCCTGTTAAAGTCTGGTTGTCACTCACAAAATTAAGGCTTGGGTTGTTCAGATAGGCATCATTTTGGCTAGTTCTGTCCAAAGCTTGCTGAAGAAACTTCGAATACTCCTGCAACATACTAGCTTTATCAGATGAGGAACCTTGAGAGCTTGTTGCAACATTCTCATTTTGTGTGACCTCTGACACTTCAGAAGAATTGATTGAAAGACTGGAAGTCACTTCAGTATCTGCCACATTGAAAGCTATTTCATGCTGGCCATTGGCTTTGTGGGAATAATGGTCTAAAAGAGTTTGAAGTACCTCATCTGGAATGACATTTTTGTCATGGTTCCCCTTTATCTCCACATTCAGTCCTGATGTATCCAAGATTGATGCTGTGCTACCTTCATCTATCACACTTGCAACAGCAGCCTGAGTGACAGAAGGTTGAGAGGCAATAGTGCCTACATTCAAAGCATATTCTCTGCTGTTACTATTAGCTGCTTGGAGATACCGCCTTTTCTTTAAAAACTGCATTGCATCATCATAGTTGGTACTGCTGTGTACAGGCTTGCTGGGACCTTCCTGTAAAGTATCAACTTGGTCAATGTCAGCATTGCCATCTGAACCCAAGAGAACTTTGTTGTCCACAAGATCAAAGGCAAACTTTGAAACTTTGCTATCTTCGTAAGATGCTAAAGATGAAATGGTCTGGTTTTGCTCTAGGGGCTGTTTTAGACTTCTTTTACTGTTGACTTTTTTGAGCACCAGTTTAGGTGGGTGTATTTCTCCAGAATGTGGTTCATGTAAGTGCCCTCCACCAACAGATGAGTGGGGTAGTTCAACTGCATATTCAGCCACCATATATTCATCCTTTATTTTAGTACTGCCAGCATACAAAGGCAAGAAATCATTTTTGTCTTTTTTATGTTCAGATTTATCTGGCCCACTTTCTTTATCCAGCCCAGAAGACTTCAGTTTCTCAGTTTTCTGCCTTTTCTTCTTTGGCAAAGAGCTGTCTTTCAAAGGTATAGAGAAGCCTTGGTCTTCATCAGGACTCAAAAGGCCAACTTTGGTGGCACTTCTGTTGGGTTTCTTGTCACGGTTCTCATGGCACATGCGCTTGTGTTTCAGTACACGGTCAGTCCTTGAGAAGAACTACAGGGGACATTTTTGAATTAGAGAGACACCAACAGCCAACTGTCAAAATAACATTTTTGACATGGTAAGGTACTCATACAAGATTTTGCTGACATGATAATATTGCAATTTAAAGCATCATTACTACAGCACCACAGCTGCAAAAGTAACTTATTTGATGCTGCTTCCTACTAATGGATTATCACACACTTCCTGGTGCAGCTACTGCAAAATACATGAAAATATTCACAGTTTCCCTCAAGTGGCCAACTCTGTATAATGCAAACCAAAAAATCTGTGAAAAGCACACTGTCAGGAAAGCTTCCCTTGACATTTTCTTCCCAGATGCAGTGCACTATGACCCCTGCCAATCCAACTGGAGATGGGATGAGATTTGTAGTCCCACACATTGTGAAAATACCATATTGGTTGGAATTCCATAGACACCCATTTCTTATGAGCATTAATTTAGTCAACAAACTTAACTATTAGAACAAAATGCTCTTCCACAGAACTCTATCTGCCTAGCATTTTCCTGAGTATACTGGACAGGAAGAGCATAGGGAGTTTAAAATTTCATTCAGGTTGGCCTGAGTGCCAGCTGGCTAAAAGAATTAGAGAAGGATATCCTAAGTGAAGTTTCCATGTCCAGAGGCAGTATACATATCAATGGATATGAGATACTCTGAACAACCAATGTGTAAGAGCTAATGGACTACTAAACCACTGCTTGCCAGCTGTAGACTCTAGAGACTGGTACGGAATATACTTTAATAGCGTTGTTGATTCCCTGTAATGACTTCTAAATTTCAACCTTAGCAATCACTTCCATCTCAGCCTTTTTTTGTGATAAACCAAAGTTAAACTTAATGCATGGCACTGACCTTCTAGCAACTCACTTAAATCAGATCACCCTGCCTGCCACATACATTAGTAATTCAGAAGAAGGCTTGCCTAAATCACAGATCCCAAGCACACTCTCTTCTCCTGTTTTATCTGAAATACTCTTTAGTTCTCTCCTGCACATGTCCCCCTCTTGTACACTTTCTTGATCTCCTGCATGCTCTTTCACTCTTTCTCCTATATGCACCCTCTCTTGCAGCTCATCTTTCTACACTCTCTTACAGGTTTGTTCTGCCAAGTCCAGTGGCACATGGTCAAGAGAAACTGAAATCAAGTGGTTGGGGAGACAGGGCAAAGGAGGTGCCCCTGTTTCAGAGAGTGTATGAGTAGAGAGGATAGAAGTCTAGGCATCTGAAGCAGCACATAATCCAAGCCAGAGTTAAGAAAGAAAGGAACAAGAGAGAGGAAGCGCATGTATTTATGCATTTCCCTGCAGTTTTACTCCCTCACTGCTGCATTTCTTCCTCTTTCATTTGCATCCCTCCACAATGCCTCCTCCACAAAGAAAGGCAGTGGGACATATGAGTACAAAATGAACCAGCCATATGACACTTCCTGCTTCTCTCTTACTGCCCAGCTCTCTCCCTCCCTTCCTTAACAAGTGACAGCCAGACACTTCTCATTCCATTGAAAAGCAGTAAATTATAGTCATGACTGTAACACACAAGAAAAGTAATTTTGTGTCAGAACGTAACTCATTCAAAATAATAATAATAATAACTCACTACTACAGAATGTAACTCATTCAAAATAATAATAATAATAACAACTTGTTTAAAATAATAATAACTTGTTTAAAAATTATTTCCTGGTTATGAGGACTACATGTCGCAAAGTCATAGTGTGAAAACCTTACCATGTCAGAAAATGAGGAGTCAGCAGTCAGATTCAAACAATTTAAGCTACCACAAAATAGAACCTTTATTTTTAATTAGCATAACTCTTCTGCATTAGAAAAGAGCACTTTCTGCCATATTACCATACACACAACTATGGAGAAAGTAAATGCCCTAAAAAGAGAAAACCCTAAATGAATAAATTTGCTTTGTAGCCTCTGTCATTATCAACTCTACAGAATCTTTAGACAAGTAGAAACATGGTTTCTGGCATAGTCTACATTTTTCATATTGGAAGAATCATACATTTTTTCCTGGGGTAAGAAATGTTCAGAACTATTTTTGATTAAATATATGCAGTGCATGGTATCTGAAAGATGAACCAAAGCACCACTTTACTGAAAAGAGTGCATGTTAAAATTAAGCAATATAATACTGAGAAAATCAGTTAAGCAACATAACTACCTTCATATGCCTAAAATAGTAATCTGTAGTTTTTGGAATCACGTTTGTCAAATACTTTAGACCAGTGGTGTCGAACTGTGGCCCTCCAGATGTTCTTGGCCTTCAACTCCCTGAAATCCTGGCCAGCAGAGGTGGTGATGAAGGCTTCTTGGAGTTGAAGTCCAAGAACATCTGGAGGGTCACAGTTCGACACCACTGCTTTAGACAATCGCCCTTAAAGTTTCCCCTTCTTTCCTTTCTTCTTCAAATTACCTGTAGGCAGTATTCACACTGGTAAGGCTTCTCTCCACTGTGAGTTCTCTTGTGTCTTTCCATGTGATACTTCTGTATAAATCTCATGCCACATTCATCACATCGGAATGGCTTTTCACCTAAGAAAAACATCAAGAGAAGAAACTATTGAAACAAATGGGGAAAAGCAATGGCATTTGATCTCGATCACAGCCTTGCTATTCATTTACTTTTGTCAGCAATCAAATGAAAAATAAAATACCACAACAAAGTGAGAGTATCACAACACTAATAACAAAAAGAATGGGAAGAAAATAAGATTGAAAAAAAATGTCCATGTACTTCTCAGATACCAACATATACTTCAGAACTAGTAAGGTAAGAAGGATGGAAGATGAAAGTTTAAATGTTAGCAATTTCGTGCTTGGCTTATAAAGCACCCACATAATCCTTTCAGCATTCAGTCTATTAAGCCCTCCTGAATCATGACACACTGAAGTGGGAAGCATGCCAACCCCGCTTCCTCCACACATATTTGTTGTCCTTCTCATATGGAACATACTAGCTTCATCCTCCTCTCAAAATGCTAGTTGAATCGTGGGAGATTCAAGATGCAAAGAAACAGCACTTCCTCACATGCCACATTTTAACTAAAATATGGTATTTGCTAACACAAGAAGGTAGTGATTGTGGCAGCGGCTCCTCCTCTTCACACTTCCCCCTTCCTTCCTCTCCTCTT